ATTATTTATTTAATTTTTATTGTTGTTATTATTATTATTTTAATTTGACCAGAGAGAGAGAGAAAGGGAAAGTGAGAAAGCAAGCCCCTGGGTTCAAGACTTGAACTGTGATTGGCCATTTGGGAGTCCCAGCAGGCACCTTAACTGCTATGCCACCTGCTGGCCCCTATATTGACTTTTAAATAGGAGGGGTAAAGGTAGTCTACACCAAGAAAATAACAACTGAGCAAAAACTGGAAATAATTTTTAAAAATTTGAATTTAAATTCAAAATTTGAAAGGAAGTTCTTCATTGGAATTTTTATTTTTATAACATGGACAGAAAAGAAAAGGTGAATTATTAAAGATAAATCTCTCAGAGAAAAAGGATGCTATATTATTTCTTTGTATTTCCAGGTGTTTCAGTGATGCTGCAAAGACAGTCTTCTTGAGAATTCCTCTATTTTACAATCTATGTACATATTTAGCCTTTTTTACTAAAGGGTAAACTGGAGACATTCACTCATTTATCTCCAGAGCCTCACAAGGTGCTTGGCACATGGTAGAAGGTCTAGGATGTTTGTGGCTTGAATGTCTGAGCAGTCTTATTGGCATGTACATTTTAACTAAACATATAGGGAACATATCATGATAAGGTCTTTTATGTAAACATTTGGTTACTTTTTCTGATAGTCTACAAGTGTATATATTTCTCTTCATTAAGGTTTCCTTTGTACTTTCAGCATTCAATGTGTCAAAGAGATCTAGCAAGAGGCACATAAATTATAATTTAATGTTTTAATCGAATTCCTAGGCTATGTACTTCTGTTTAGTAGGATGGAGGCTACTAAAATATCTTACGATGGTAACAAGGTGATTTCTTTTGGGCTTGTTGGAATGAAATAGCATTGGGTAAGTGTTAGAAGAGGGCATTACAAATAGCTCTTTGTTCTAAATTTCTCCATCATTTCATAGATAAGTCAATCGACACTCATCATTTTAATCTCTTCAGAGGCCAATGTAGTTAAGAGGAAAATAAAGGGTACTATAGGCAATAAACAGAAGTCTTGTAACAATATATGTGTTGCAGGGAAGAGGATTGGGAGATCCATAAAAACTGCCAAAAAGAACAAAAAATATAATTAAAGGAGCCAAAAAGACATATTGAACACAATCTTGGGGACTGTTTTGGGCAACAGTAAATGTCTCCTCAAATATATCTTAAGAAGACAGAAAGCAAAGTAGAAAACTAGAGCCCTGAAGAGAGAAAGAAAAACACTAAATAGAATCGTAGGAACAGGCTAACAGGAGCTGGATTTTCTTATGTTAATTTTTCCCTTTCTTTAAAATAATTAGTGTCTAACTAGGAGATCAGACAATTTGAAATTTTCAGATGAGAAGAGAATGGTGGAAAGCAAAAGAAAAATATAAACAGAGGTGATATTTTAGGCAGGCATGGCTCAGAGTGGAGTATATTGTATAGCGTATAGTAAACAATTGAAATTTGCAGTTCACACCTAACTTTGCCAACTAAATACAGTTATTTTAGGTTCTATCAAAGTTAGGAAATGTATCCTTCCTCCCTTCCTTCCATCTCAGTTATACATGACTTCATCAAGAACAGAATAATACTTGTAGTAGAAAATGTTTTTTGACAGTGAATTTTCATTACTTGGACGAAAGGTTTTTACCTAGGGAGACATGTCAGAGTTACCTGGGAGCTTTCTTAATAAGCATTCTCTTCTTAAGACCCATCACCATAGACATTTGAATAACTCATAATAATCCAAAAACACATGGGACCTTATCGCTCACAAAAAATATCAGCTTCTGTGTGAGTTATAATTACATGAAATAATTGACAGATTAAAACAAAATATAGAATAAGCATTTCATGTCATTAGAAGTGAAAAAGCGAAGTTGTTTTCCTAGTTGTAGAAGTAGAATTCAGACTTGTGCGTTAACTTGATCTCTGCCAGCCAAGTCTTATCACTCATATGAAATTAGTGAACGTGGTTTTCTTTGTGCTCAGTAATTCCCAAATACTGTTTAGTTTAGTGGCCATGAAGACAAACCATAACTATTTAGAGATAAAATATCAACTTGGAGATCTCAAACAATGGTTTCAAGACCATAGGTAAAAGTTTACCTCAAATATAATTTACTAAGTCAAGTAAAAGACAAAATTCATTGGTGAACTCTGCCCATGATTCACTCACAATCATTCACACAAACACATGTATAATGTTCAGTAAAGCAATTTGCTCAATATTTCTCAGAAATAAAAACTTGAAATTCATTTATTGTACCTCTGATTTTATTTTATTTTTTCCAGAGGTTTTTGCCTTAGGTAGTGTGCACTCACCAAGTGAGAAATTACCCCCACAGAAAGGATAGCCACACTGCAATCCCTACTCCATTCTTCTCCCAGGATCTTGGGCACACACGCACACACACCTGACATGAGTTTCAAGCCATTCCAGAAAATGCTAAGATCATTTTCTGTGTAAATGTAAGTTAATGTATATGCACACTCACATATAAATAAGATTTAAGGACATAGTATAATGGTTTAAAGATAATCAGAACACTATTTTACATCGAAGAACAATCATTCTATCTAGAAACTTGGGTGTTTTAGATTGTATTTCTACAGAGAATATTATTACAGAAAAAGAATGAATTTTTCCATTTTAATACTTAAAACACTGAGCGCTTATTATAAACCTAGCAGATCATAGAAACAAAGGTCTAGAAATCATTTATTGAGTTTCTGCTGCATACCAAATTTGGTGTGTGTGTGTGTGTGTGTGTGTGTGTGTATGTGTACGTGCTTGTGTTTATGTGGTAGCAGGAGGTGGGTAGCAGCATTCAAGAGGTTTAGCCACTAGGACTCTAGTCTTAAAACTATGAGGGAAGGAAAGTAAAGAGTTAGTATGTTTCTGTCTCTAATGGCTCCATGCGGCCTTGCAGAAAAAAGAGCACTGTGATCTGAATTATTTCAGAAAATTCAACTCATGAATGAGCTTGTTTCATCTATATCCATATCCATCCTCCCAACCAATGATTATTTTGAAGCAAATCTCAGATATTATATTATTTTTATCTTTAAATATTCCAGTATATATATTGTAAAGATGAGAACTCCTTAATGTATAGTAACAATACCATCATAAATCCTAATAAGTTACACCTAAATCAATCAGGTATCAATTTATTATTCAGGCTTCCTCAATTATTGCAGAGATGTTTTTCTTTTTTTTCTTTTCTTTTTTAAATAGATTTTTGCTTTAGGGCATGGTGTGTACTCATTAGAGAGACAGAGAGAGACAGAGAGCAAGAAATCACCCCCCACCCCCAGGGAGGGATGGCCATGCCACAATCCCTTTTCTTCAATTTTCCTCTCTGGATCTTGGGCATGCACACACATGGGCTTGGAATGAATTTAAGCTGACGGGTAAGGGACTCGAACTGCAATTGACTACATGGGAGTCCAGTGACATAATCATTATGAGATCTGCTGGTCCCAAGATGTTTTTCTTTATAACTTATTTTTTTAAAGGTTTTTGCACTAAGGCATATGCAGAGAGAGGCAGAGAAATGGTGAGAAACAGTGAGAAGGAAAGTGGGGATCCTCGGTGGGGGGGACATGATGTAATCCCTCTCCTCCATGTCCTCCTGAGATTTTGGGCATGCACACATGCCCTGCATAATTTTCAAGCCACTTGCTCCAGGATGCAAACTGTGGTTGATAGTGGTTAAAGTGTAGGAATCCAGCACCTTAACCACTTTATCACCTGCTGGCCACCTTTTTAACTTATTTTATTTTAAGAGATATTTTGCTATAGGATGTACATGCTTGCCAGAGAGACAGAGCTAGAAAATGAAAATCACCCTCTCCAGGGGGAATGGTCTTGTCACCATCTCTTCTCCTCCATTCTCTTCTTGGGATCTTGGGCACACATGCACATAACAATCAGCATGAGTTTCAAGCCACTGGGTTGAGGACTTGAACTAAAGTCTGCCATGTGGGAGTCCCAGACCTTAAGCACTACACTACTTGCTGAGCCCTTTACAGTTTATTTTTAAAAACTGTGTTACAATTAATTTGTCCCATAAAATTATGTACAGTGTCTGGATTTTCCTAAGGTAAGGTTTTAATCCATTCTGTCATCCCTGAATAATACGTAAATTGAGAGATTTAAGTAGTTCAACAACAGAATTTAGAGTTTTTATGAGAGGTGGATGATACCTGCTTTTCAGATAAATTCCTTTGATTGTTTCTGTTCTTAGCCAAGAATTTTATAGAAGTTGGTTCAAAGATTAAAATGGCAAAATAATCAAATTTAGGATGCTTACAGTCTAAAGAGGGAAGCAGATATGGTTATAATTAACTCTAATAAAAAGCAAAATATGATACACTTTAGAGTGTTCCACACTGCTTGCTGTTGTGTAAGTATTAATAGAGTGATAAATTTTCAACATCTTCATGTCCATGAGAGGGGAGCCCTCAGGACAACTTCATCAAATAGAAGAGCTCTGTGGAACACAATTTGATACATAACCTTGAAGATTCCTTCTAGCCCTAAACTTGAGAATGATGATGAGCTGTATGGTATAATTCACCATGTTTTTACAAACTCCTGAACTTCTCTTAAAGCTATACTTGAGCCAAGCTGGAGAATATTAAGGGGGAAAAGATAGCCACATAGCATTTCAGCCAGACTGAAATATTTCTGGTTGGTTGACAACCCTACAAGTCCACTTAGAATAGACAATCTATCACCATGATTCAGTTCCTTTTTCAAACAAAACAAAATATCTTCCAGTGACAGGAGCCATATATTTGAAGAAAATTGACAAGTAACGGAAGAGCTACTCTGTATCTGGGCAGTATGGTTTCATTACATTACTGCATATTTATTTAACATGTTTATATATTTTGTCTTTGGAATATGCACGCATGTGTGTGTTGGTGCTTTGTATTTTGCATTCTCCTAAGATTTGTGCATCTGTCTCCAGGCACAGACAGCACACATTGTCCTGGAAGATGGAACCAAGATGAAAGGCTACTCCTTTGGCCACCCATCCTCTGTTGCTGGTGAAGTGGTTTTTAACACTGGCCTGGGAGGGTGAGTAATGCCTCTCTTCCAAGACTGTTCATCCTTTGTGTGGAGAAATAACTAGAAAATCTTACTAATGGTTGACAGTTGAAATTACTACATCATGGTGAGATTACATTTTGTTCTAAAGAGGCACACTGTACCTTGTGTATAGCCTTCTGCAGTCATTATTGAAAAGGAGTATAGACACAAACGTCCTGCTGTTGTAACTGAGAGAGGGCATGGACCCTCGTGTTCCCTGAAAAAAAGAACAGAATTAATTCTAGCCACTTCATTGTGAGGACAATGGTTGTGTGAGGTTTCCAAATGGCTTCTGAAATGAATCCTAGGAAAGTGAAGATTGGAGCAGGGAAAAGAATGGGAATCATACTATAGGGCCATTCCATTAGTAACATTAGCAATCAATTCTATACTTTTAATGTGAAATACTATAAGGAGATTAGAAAACCTTTGGTTATTTTATTTCATTTTGTGCTCTAATAACAAAGGTGAAATAAAAGATAAATTTATTGCCTTAAAATAATCAATGAGCGAGCAGGAGCATAGATCTGACATTCTCAATAACGATCAATTATTAAGACCAACTTAGTACTTAAGTTCTGCTAACAAATATACAGGATCAAAGATGAGTTGCTTCAGAAATCACGAGGCTGGTCTTACCTAGTCCATAAATGTTTGTTTTTCTGGGATGCAGGAAGCCGACATTCTAGTCTCAGTTCTGAGTATGTGATATAGGGGCCATCAATTACTTTTTCCAAGTCCTTGTTTTCCCATATAAAAAGTGAGGGATTGGTTCCAGGAGGTGGTGTGAATAAGGTGCTGGATCTCATCTGGATAACTGCATGGTTTGAATCTCAAACCTGGATGCCTGAAAATCATTTTGGACATGTGTTCATGCATGTCAAAAATCCCTAGAGGAGACTGGAGGAGAAGGGATTGTGGCATGGCCATCCCCCTGGAGGGTGATTAACTTACTTTCCCAAATATATGTAAGAGGGCTGGATTAGATACTACTTTTAGGTTGGGGATTTTAAAAAACTATGCCTTAAAAATATGACTAGATTAAGGTGTTTCCTCTGGAAGTTCAACCAACTAAACTTCCATGGAATATTGAAAATGTTTTGGAAAAATTCGAATTAGCCTCAAAAAAGACTAGGGGGCATTGGGTTAACTGATCCTGTAGATATTAATTGACCAAATTTCTCTTCTATTATTAATTTACATTCTTCTCTAAACTCTAGCCTCTCTGTGTGAAATAAGTAATAGTAGATGGTTTTTAAAATAGTTCCACTGGTGAGAACATTAAATTACAGTGTATGAAACCTGTTTGCAAAGTTTTTGCTTCACCAGGCAATTATTTAAGCTTTTCGACAGCACTAATTACTAGCTGTGTTAATATACCTGCCAACAAACAACTGTTTAATATAGATCAGAATGATGGAGGGCACTAGAGTTTTCTACTCGGTGATAGATTACGGGTAATAAATCTTGTCACATCACAAAAGTCAAACAGGACCTGATGGATTAATTTGCTTCCAACACTGCAGTTCTCTAGGACAAGCTATATTTATTCATTTACAGGAGAGTATTGTAAGCATATGTTTAAAGGGAATGGCCAGTTCTTTTATGGAAGGAAAGAAGAAAGGGAAATAAAATCTGATTAATTAAAGAATTTTAAATTTTGATGTAGAAAATAGCTTTTGTTTATGAGATTAGTCCACAGACCCTATTTTCCATTGAGAAATACGGCTTTCATTCCCCTGTCGTTCACTCAATAAGGTGGTTGATTATTAAGGGGACAATTTTGTTTTTAATTTCCAAAAAAGGCATTTATATTGTATGTAAGTCTTAATTTAAAAATGATCAGTTTCTTTCTTTCTTTCTTTCTTTTTTTTTTTTTTTTTTTAGAGATTTTTGCTATAGGGTGCATGTGCTTGCTAGAGAGACAGAGAGACAAAAGCGAGAAATTACCCCCCCCCCCCCATGGGGATGACCACACCATAATCCTATCTCCTCTCAGGATTTTGGGCATGCACAGAAGTTTTAAGCTGCAGGGTCTGGAATCAAACTGCTGTCAATCATGTGGGAGTCCAAGGCCTTAACCACTATGCAACTTGCTGGCTCCCCAAATTATCAGTTCTTGACAGTGGGAGGCATCTGAGAAATTAGCTGATGGAGGCCATGGATAAATGTTACAGTACTTGAATCACTCCAGGGATTGCAAAGCTGAAAGACAAAGTTTTCTGTTGACAAAGTTGGTTCTGGTAGGTGTTAGTCTAGATGGGTTGAAGAATTTATGTTGACCGCTGCTTGAGCTAAAACTTACGTTTTTCAAGGTTATTGATTCTGTACTCTAGGCATCTAAATTCACTTTCAGTAGGAATCTATGAAAAAGGTTTGGTTTAACTCATTCTACAGAAAGTGAAAATGTGTAAGGGCAGAAGAAAGACCTCACTTCTCATGAATTCCAGTCATGAGGTAGGTGTAGATAGACAGTTACTGATATTTGTGGGAATAATGTTTCTTATTTTTAAGAATATAAGTATATATATATATGTATGTGTGTGTGTGTGTGTGTATATATATATATATATACACACACACACACACACATACATATTCATAATATATTCACATATACTTTGTATATGTTTGGTATTCTTAATTTTCCCCTTCCCAAACTTTGAATTATAGTCCTTCTGCATTCCTTCCTAATTCCATTTCAGTACTTTAAAGTAGCTATTTAGAATCCTTTTATTTAGAAGTCAGAAATGTTTCAGATTTAATTTTGTGAGATTGATTTTTTCCTAAGTTGATAATAACTCCCAATATATTTCTTTCTAATATTTTTCAATTTTTAAAAGCTTATTTTATTAATAAAAAACAATACATGCATATACTCATATTTAAAGGAAATGGCCAGTTGATAATAACTCCCAATATATTTATTTATAATATTTTTCAATTTTTAAAGACTTATTAATAAAAGAGAGTACATGCATATATTCATAAGAGAGAGAGGAAGAGAAAGAGAGAGAATCCTTGGCAGGATCTCATCATATTGAAATCACCTTCCCACACTTTTCAGCTCTTAAAGATCTTGAGTATCTATGTGTACACTGGGCATCTTTTCAGGTCAGCTCCAGGTCCCAAATCATGGTCTGCTATATGGCTTCCAGCACTGCAGTTCGGTATGCATCGCCCAGGTTAAGCCTCTTTCAGTTTTTGACAGTTAGTATCTTGGTGGAACTGGCAACCCATAACTCTAAATGTGAGTTTGGCTCATTGATATATGATAGTCTAGAGAAATTGTCAGCATTGCAAACTTCAAATAGAGCAGCAATATCTTTAAAATTAGGACTCTATTAAGGATTTAAATTTTTATTTTATCTTCTACGGAGTGTTTATGCTTGCCAGAGACAGAGAGAGAGAAAGTGAGAATGCATCCTCCAAGGTGCTTTGACTGCTCCTTCTCCTTTATTCTCCTCTCAGGGTTTTGGGCTTGCATGCTCAAAACATCTGGAGTGTTTTTCAAGTATCTGAGTCTGATACTCGAACTACAGTCATGTGGGATCCATCTGCCTTAACCACTACACCAACTGGCTGGCCCATAAAGGATTTTTTTAATAGTCAGTTTTTCTTTTCATGTCAGTCATATCATGGGATAAATTTTTCATATTCTGCCATAAAATTTCCCTAGCTTTGCTTATGTGTAGAGATGGGTTTGTAGGATTTCAATCTTACATTCTTTAATTTTCATGGGTTCAAAATTTCTGCGTGTGTTGGCTGATTATTTTTTATAGTCATATAAATTGTCTTGTTGATACTGTTTTGGTGTCTATACTCAGGTACCCAGAAGCTATTACAGATCCTGCATACAAGGGACAGATTCTTACAATGGCTAACCCTATCATTGGGAATGGTGGTGCCCCTGACACTACTGCTCTGGATGAACTGGGACTTAGCAAATATCTGGAGTCTGATGGAATCAAGGTAATACCGGTGATGACTGCTTAAGAAGTTCAAATTGAAGCATTATATTGGGTTGTTGGAAAAGTCATAATGCATTTTTGCATGGAAAAATAGAAAAAATATGCCATGACTTTTCAACAACCCAATAGTTGACTTATTTTGAAAAACCTGGGATTAACAGTTTATTCCTCAATATTGTAATACAAACCATTAAATTCATGTACTCAAACTTATTCCTGACTATACAAGAATAATTTTTAACATGATATTATTTTGAGTTTAATTTTTCAGAACATTGTAGATTTTAATTCCTTGGCTAAAACTTGGATTAATTTGGAAAACTATTGTTATAAATTCAAATAATAACCGTATTAATAAGAATTGAAAAAAGACTCACTTTTTTAAGAGGTTTTTGTCTCTTAAAAGAGAGAGAGTTAGAGAGACAGAGACAGAGAGAAGGAAAGTGAGATATCATCTCCAAGGGCAGATGGCCACACTACAATCCCTTCTCCATTCTTCTGAGATCTTCAGCATTCATGTACACAAGCCTGGCATGATTTTTAATCCATCGGGTTCAGGACTCAAATTGCAGTTCACCATATGGGAGTCCAGCAATGTAACCATTATACCCTTTGCTGACTCCAAGACTCACCTTTTAAAAGGAATTCAGTAATCAACTCCAAATTAATTATTTGCCTTTTAATCTTACCATTTTCAGGGGATGAATTTAAGTTTTCATGCCAGTCTGAAAGTAAACATATTAACATTTCTTTGTTAAGGGAAATTTGGATAGTATCTTAGGAATATGAGTCCTATAAACAATAAAAAAAATATATTTCAAATTCACCACTCTATTTTTTTCACTACTCTATTTCTGAAAAACTTGGATCTAATGGACTTGGATAGCCTTCGCTATTTTATAAACATTTCCCCAAATTTCTCAGAATCCTTTAAATACAGATTAAAATTATTTTATTATTCATGTGCTTTAGATAAATAATTATGAATTAAAGTGCTAATAAATGTCATAGGGAAAAAGTGCAGCATGACAAGAAAAGAGACACATAGATTAGTCTTGAGATCCAACAAGTCAGGTAAGCCTGTTCCCTCTTATATTGACTAAGGAAATAAATATTATACACACACACACACACACATATACTAATAATGTATATCTATATTTAAAATTGTTGATAACCATTTTTTTCTTTTTCCCCCCAATTTTAAGTCTCATACCAGTAAATATAAAACATTTTTTTCTTTATGATTTCTGGTTTTTATATGTTTGATGTAGATCCAAACTGAACCTCAAGACAAGTGACAGAGTTGAATAATATTTTGTGATCACCCCATCAAAAAGACTGCTTGTCTTTTAGGTTGCAGGTTTGCTGGTGCTGAATTATAGCAATGACTACAACCACTGGCTGGCTACCAAGAGTCTGGCGCAATGGCTACAGGAAGAAAAGGTGAGAAATGTGATGGGGTATCCAGACTTCCTTAAGGAAAGTTGGTGGGGTTGATGGAAGTTTAGGAAGGTGTATGGAAAATAAAAAGGGCCCAGCAACTGAAGGTGATCATGTAGGCTGGAAACTTTCTATGAGAATTTCACAGAGAGTTTTCATCTCTTATGACTCTTCCTACAGGCTGAACATTCTTGGTCCACCCTCTTTCAAGCTTGAGTACCTAACTCTCTGCTGTACTTTTTTTTTTTTTTTTTGAGAGGCTTGTCGCTATAGGGTGCATGCGCTCGCCAGACAGACAGAGACATAGAGACAGAAAGTGAGAAATCACCCCCCAGGGGGGATGGTCACGCCACAATCCCTTCTCCTCCATTCTCCTGTCGGGATCTTGGGCACGCACGCACACGCGCTCGGCGTGAGTTGTAAGCCACCGGGTCCAGGACGCGAACTGCGGTCGACTACGTGGGAGTCCAGCGACATAGCCATTACGCTAACTGCTGGTTCCCTCTCTGATGTACTTTTAACCAGGATCTAGTTCTGTGACTTGCTTTGTGAGTTCTAGTACTAGCCCTACTGTTTACTGGCTGTGCAACTTTGTGCAGGCCACATAATCATTTCTCATAATTTAGTCCTCTTAGTTCTTGTGACTATAGACTACCATGAAGTCTCTTTGGGCATAAATATCATGACATCCAATCAGATATAATCTCATGAGGCAATGTAAGAAGAATATAAAAAATTTTCCTTACTTTAAATACTAACTTCTAGCCATTCGCCTTATTTGAATGTCAGGAAGAATTCATGTTAATGAACCTGATATATTTAGTTTCATTTTCTGTGTGGTCATAGCTGCTTTTTGTTCAGCTACTGCTGTGCCTGTGTGATAGGGTTTTGTTCTAAGAAAGTTTGCCTTTCCAATGAGGTCTGCCTATTGGGATTGAATGTGCCTCTACTGACATATCAAAAAATCTTGATCTTGGCATCCTTCCTAAATTTCAAAAGGAAGAAGAAAGTTCTACTTTATGTCCTGGGTCATCATTGTTTTCTCCTCAACCATTGTCTGAATTTATCTTCATTGCTCAGACAACTAATTTTTGAAATGACCACTCAGGAGATTTACTTTTTATGAGTGTTTTCTTTGTGTTATTTAGGGCACCTAATATTAAAGTTTGTCTGTGTCTGAACTAATAGTTTTAGTGTAAGCCTAACCAAGACTTGTTAGTTTGTTTTTAAAATGTGCTTTGAATCTTCCTTTATGATCACAGACACTCAGATTAGAAAGGGGTCTAAAATTCACCGCTTGGCCTTCTATGGAGAGGTGAGAACAAACATCTGGATTAAACATCCTTCAGATAATTGTTGGAAGAAAAGAAATTAGAACCTGTTTTCCTGGTTCCTGGCCTATTGCTGTATTATTATTATTATTATTATTATTTTTTTTTTTTTGGAGAGGTTTTTTTCCCCCCCCCCCATAGGGTGCGTGCGCTCGCCAGACAAACAGAGAGAGAGAGACAGAGACAGAAAGCGAGAAATCACCCCCCAGGGGGGATGGCCATGCCGCAATCCCTTCTCCTCTCCTCTTGGGATCTTGGGCATGCACACACACGCACCTGGCGTGAGTTTTAAGCCACCGGGTCCAGGACGCGAACTGCGATTGACTACGTGGGAATCCAGCGACATAGCCATTACGCTAACTGCTGGTCCCCCTATTGCTGCATTATTACATCACATGTCTCTATTCAACCTAGTCAAGGAAACTACATTTATGGTGGTGTTACCTCATTGACTAACAGGATGGGGAAGTTTTAGTAGGCATGAGTACTCTACAAGACCCTTCAGAAAAAATATGTTGAATGCCTACTATGTGTTAGGAGCATTTGGCTCAAAACATGGATTGGCATATTGTTTATGAAATTCCCCAATCCTGTTATCTAAAAAACATACATACGTATGTATGTATATATGATATTACTTATTCACATCCTGGGTTAAAAGCAACAAAGTTGCCCTGAAGATCGATGTTCAGAATTTTTCATTTTTCATTCTGAGAAAAAGCCTGAGTATTAAGAGTCTCGTGCCCAAGTGGAACAGCAATTTGCCGTGTTCTGACAACACAGTCACCCTGGGTCAGAGAGAAGAAGGAGTGGGGAAATTATTTACTGTTCAAGAAGATAGATGAGGCTAAGTTTATAACTTGAAAACAATATGCTGGATCTAATTTCCTGCAATTTCACTGTCACTGTGATTTTTTTCATATAGGTTCCTGCAATTTATGGAGTGGACACAAGAATGCTGACCAAAATAATTCGAGATAAGGTATGAGCATCCACTTTAGCCAAATCTGTATTTCTTCACATATTTTGTTCCTTAGTGTCTCAGGGATCCATTAATATGTAAAGGAACAAATCTAGCCAGCTCTTGCTATTTGGGTCGGTGTCATTTTGCTTTACTCTTTCCAGTGCAATTTTTTAGAGTACTTGATTGGTATGTTTGTAACTGGATGGACCCGAGACTGCTTCACCCAGCAGGAGTTTACTGAGTGTCCACTGTGTGTTCTTTACACCCACAAGTCAGGGTATTTATAATTCAAGCTCATGTGAGAGGACTTTGGTGAAACAAGTGGAGAAAATAATTATAATTAAGTGCCTAAATGTTTTGCCTAACTGAATATCACATGCCGAAAAATGCAAGTCAGAAAGTGTTCGGCACTGGTGCCATTATTTGTTTAGTTCCTTTAGAAGAGTTATCTGAAATTAGTGAGCTGGATTTCGTGAGTATGCCAAATGAGCCCTACATGAGTTACCTCCATGACAGAGTCTTTCTTGAGACTGTATCAATGACCAAGGTGATCAAAGAAAAGGTTATCTTTTGCTTCTATATCTGACTGCTGCAACATCTGACCCCTCCTCTGAGAATATCTCATCACCATCTGTTTGCTGCTTCTTGCTATAATAAGTTGACACTTTGTTTTCCTACATGACACGTTCATATCCCAAATCAGATAGATACCTACCTCCCTATTAACTGAATTCCCTAAATACAATTAAGTTTTCTTTTTAAATATTATAACATAAAAAAATCAGGAAGAGATTTTTCAAGAAAGTAAATGTATTGTAGATTCTTTGATAGAATATTTAACTCTGTGACGTAGCATCTCTGTAAATGGAAAGAACAGCTTTGGAAATGAAACATGGCTATATGTTAATGGCCAGAAGAAAGCCAGCAAGAATTTATACGATCATTCTATTCTATCTCTGATTTTATTTCTTCCACCATGATTTTCCTGAGAATAGATATTAGGGAGATGATGTGTCCCGAGTAGATTCTTGTGTTTTCTTAGCCTAATGGTGTGTGGGAGCCATAAACACTGATAAGGCTCCCAGGATGAGAAGGAAGTAAAATTCAATTCAGGCTCCATATTTAGCAGGTTGAATATGTCAGGCCTAGTGACTTGGGAAGAGTCTTTTCAAGACCATGCTGGGTCCTTCCTGTGATGTTAGGTTAAGATGAACCCTCTTTTTATCACAGTTAGGTTTTCAAAACCTCGCTGAAATTGGCTAGTAAAAAAAAACCAAAACACTAGTATTGCTTATTATATTTGTTTATGAGTGATGCTGGTTCATATGGGAAATGTATATTTTATAATATCTCATACCCATTCCATATTCATATTTTCCCCATTCTCTTGATGCTGATTTACTAAAATTTAAAAATTTAATCTAGGATCACATTTTGCACCTGGGTTTTATTCATCTTAAGTGTCTTCCAATGTTTAATCATAGTTTTTGTGCTTCCACACTGGCTTGTTAAAGATCCATGCCATTAATCTTATAAAATGCACCACCTTCCAGGTTTATAGAGGTATAATTGACAAAATTATGTATTAAAATATGTACTATACTTTTTACTTTTATTAATCTCAGACTGAAAAATAGGCTTACAGTTCATTCAGTATACTTTTAGAAAAAGGGAAAAGCTAGGAAGACAGCAGGTGGTATAGTGGTTATGGATTTGGATTCTCACATGGCTGACTGAGATTGGAGTTCCAAACCTGGTGGCTTAAAAATTTGGGAATTTTTGTATACATGCCCAAGATCCCAGGAGGAGATGGAGGAAAAGGGAATGAGGCATGGTTGTACCCCCTGGGGATGATTTCTCACTTTATCTCTCACTGTCTCTTCTTGGTAAGTGTATTTGCCCTATGGCAAAAACCTTGAAAGAAAGAAAGAGAAAGAAAAAGGAAAGAACATAAGAACTAGAAACTAAAATTTAAAATTAGAGATCCATAAATACCATCAAGAGATTATGTGACTTGAATTCTAAAAGTACAGACTACCATGGAATTTAGCAACCTAGTGTTGAAATGAAAGATCATTTTTTGTGAGTTTTTCCAGACTTTGAGACAACACTCTGGTTTTAAAAATAACACTGAAATAACCATTTTGCTTGCATGGCATGCGGGTAAGGATAGTACTTTCCCCCAGTGACTTCTTTTGCAAGGAATAAGTTTAAAATGGAAACAAAGGCTTTCTTCTATTTCCTATAATACAATAATTTCTCAAGAGAAATATTTTTTTAACTTTTTTCTTCCAGTATAATCTTAAGAACTAAATGTAACATGCCATTTTCCTAAATAGTTCAAAGTAGTTTTACTAACAAATAAGTAAATCTCAAGATATAGCTAATGAAAAGAAGAAAACATTGCCATGTTCAAGGTAGCAAGGCTAATTTGTGAAAATTTCAGAGGGTTGAACATTCGTGAAGTTCAGGTCTTTAGGGACATTAACGTATCTAAGCAGCAAAATTTTTTCTAGTTTTTTCCTCATTTTTATTTTATTTTTTATACATTCAGTCACTGTATATCATTACAGCATGCAACATGAATTTTCCCAGCATGAATAGACTGTATATTAGTCCAGTCATATATATTATCATATATATCATCACCAATGAATAGTTTTTAATTTTTGTGTTTCTTAAATGTTTTGTTTCTTTTTCTTTCCCCTTGATTCCTTTCTTCTCATGCTATAGAGTACATATGCTTGCCAGAGAGAGAGAGAGAGAGACAGCGAGAGGGAAAATGAAAAGTTACCCCCTGGATGGGGGCTGTGGCTGTTCCACCATCTTTTTCCCTTCAGTCTCCTTTTGAGATTTTGGGTATACATGTACACATGCCCAGTGTGATTTTTATGTCACTGGGTCCAGGACTCAAACTATGGAGTTAGCTATGTAAGATCCAGCACCTTAGCCTGCAAGTTTTAGGTTTCTTATTTTTTGCTTCATAGGTTGCTTTGTCCACTGTTTTCACGAAACACCTATTAGTCATGTGTACTAAGGAGTACAGCTACACGGTAAATACTCCGGTCAGCACCAGCCTGGAACCTGGAGGCCCAGATTTGAAAGACCTTTGTCTTTGTCTACACTAGGCAATGTTATCGAGCCTAAAAGGACTAATGGTGTTTTCCAGGGTGTTTCTCAGAATGTGTGCAAATGACTTCATCTTCCCAGATTGAGGAGATGATCACCTGATGTTTATGAGACATTATTAAGACATCTAAATCTTGGAGCAGATGTTTAAAGGCCCTGTGAATTTATTCTGTCAGCACCTTCATCGTTACTTTCTTCTAAATGTCAAATTTTGTTTGTTTGTTTAATTTTATAGGGTACCATACTTGGGAAGATTGAATTTGAAGGTCAATCCGTGGATTTTGTGGACCCAAATAAGCAGAATTTGATTGCTGAGGTTTCAACCAAGGTAAGAGATTTTCTTCACATTCTGTCATTTTACTTTATTTGAATCTACCTTTCTTGCCTACCAGATCTTCATTTAGGCAGAAGTCAATTTCCAGAAGCACCAGAACGGAGGGGAAAAGGCATCTCATAGTGGCTAACATATATGTTGCAATATCAGTGCATTTAGAGTTAATAATCTTTACTTCTAGATTCACACTGAAATCTTACATTGAAATCTTTGTGGACTGAGTTAGAGGACATTCACAATTATTTTAGACCTCTTCATCCTTAGCTGGCTCCATTTCTGGTTCCTCAGCTCAAGGCTTCACCAGCATCAGATCAAGTAAGGGCTGATTTACCAAAGTTGGTCATTGTAAAGATTAGGAGTCAGAGTAATAGCTTACTAGAGAGTCAAGAAAACTTTATAGAAATCAGACACAGTAATCAGAGTCTGGGGTCATTTTGTGCAGAGAAAAACATTTCTTTACACACTAATTATTTATTTATTGTATTATAGCTTAGTTCAAAAATTAAGGTTCATAATGATGACTGTGCCACCCCAGAGTAAAATAGTATATATTAACAAGAAGATATAGAATACACTTTAGAAAGATGTCCCTTAGTTTGACTGAATATCTATTCACATAATGTGAATGAGTCTCTTGAGCTGTAGTTTCTGTCTATCTTTGGGGAACACAGAGTCTGGTGAGACAAGCAAGCAAACAAGCAATCACCATATACAGAATCACGTGATAAATGCTGTTTGGAGTGTGGGCAGAGAGCCACAAGGCACATGTGGGAAAATGTCAAATAAAATAGGTAGGCCAAGTGGTGGCACAATGATAATGCAAGTGGACCCACTTAGGAAGGCCCCAGGTTCATATTCAAGGTCTACTCAAGCATCCATGTTCACGAGGTTGGTTGGTGATTCTGGCTTATGATGGTGGAGGGTGAATTGCAGCATGATGCTCTTGTTGGGGACACTTTTCTTTCTCTCATGGAAGAAAAAATAAACTTTAAAAAATGGAATTTGTGCATCAGAGAAGGCTCTGCAGAAGAGTTAGAAGAGCAGTTAGTTACAGTGAGATAGATGGAGAACTAAGAGTACTGTGATTCAGACAGAAGGAATGGCATGTATTGAGAGGCAGAGAGGCATGCAACAGTGGGCATGTCTAAAGAATTATGCATCATTTGGTAAAACGGAACCAAAGGAGTCAAACATATTGAGCCATGCATCTCTTGTTGTGTGGTGGGGTGGAGATGGACCAGAGCTGGATCTAGTGTCATCTCACTGACTGACTAGACTACTAGAAACTCTTGAGAAATCACTCTATTCAGTAGAAAGTGAATGCTATTTCTACAAAGTGACTGAGGTTCTTGGGAAGGAAAGACTACAGTAAGTATTCATACATATAAGATCTGATTTTAAATAGATTTATTTACTATACCAGATTATTCCTAGGTATAAAAAACTAACATAGTTTCTTGCTTAAGATAGTTTGTAGTTTTCAGGGTCCATTCAAAATGACTCTAGTCTTAAAGGAAAATAATAACAACCAATCTTTTCTGGAATGCCCAGTGATTGTCGTATCTTATTTCACAGCTAAAAAAAACCCTAAAGCTTGACAGATAAATCTATTTAAAATAAAATGAAATTGTTTCCAAGATGAGCTCTGATTTTAACTTAAGTGCATCCAGAATCTATGTGGTTAGCTTCATTCTGTTTTTCCTTCCATTTTGGTTGTGGTTTGACTGGAAAACTCCCCAAAGACTTCATTGCTAAGATCGGACTACATAAATTCAAAACACTTTCTCAAGACTTCTCATGAGCTTTTAATTTTTTTCTTGATCCCATCTGGCAGGATCTGAAAATGTTTGCATATTCTGCTCCTCTGCTTGCAACCCTGCTTCCTCTCTCCTTCACCTTTTTGCCAGAAGAAGCCAGTCCCATGGGTTAGGTCATTGCTCCTCTGTGACAATTCACCCTGCCTTTGTATGCCATGTCATTTATTGAGTAGCTTTATTATAACAAGGATTAAACCACATTTTACTTTTTGGAAGGATCATCTCTCTCTATGAGTACCTCTTTAAAATTTGTTTACTTATTTCTTCAGAGAGGGATAGAAAGCAAGAGAGCACTCCCAACAGAGTCTCAGTACCATGTTCTGCCCAGCACCAGCCAGGCCTGGATCATGAGTGCATATATGCATGGTGTCCCCAGGGAAGTCTCTGAATGCAAACCCAGAACTTCCCTTATGGGATCAGAGTTGGTGCTAAAGGAACTATAGATTCTTGGGATCTGCAGATGGCATAATGGTTACATTGCTGGACTTCTTCGTAGTTAACCGTGGTTCGAGTTCTAGACTTGGAAGCTTAAAACACATGTCGGCAGGACCAGCAGTTAGTGTAATGGCTATGCCACCAAACACTCATGTAGCTGACCACAGTTCGAGTCCCAGATCCGTTGGCTTAAACTCACGCCAGACGCGTGTGTGTGCATACCCAAGATCCTGAGAGGAGAGTGGAGGAGGGATTGCAGCATAGCCATCCCCCTGGGGGAGGGGGCAGGCGGGTGATTTCTCGCTTTCTGTCTCTCTCTCTCTGTCTGTCTGGTGAGTGCATATGCGCTATAGCAAAAATCTCTCCAACCTCCCCCCCAAAAAAAGAAGGAAAAAAAAAAAAGGAAATTACAGATTATTTTTTTCCCTTCACATGTTTTAGTCAGTGTTTCTAATGGTCCTATTATCTCCATTCTTAATATAATAAAATTCTGTTACTACTATTAACTATTATCAATTATATTAACAAAAACAGTACCAGAGAAGATGTGTTTGGTACTTAATATGTATCAGGTATTTTTCTAAACACATTGCACCAATTAACTTATTTAATCCTCAGAGCAGTCCTATGGGATAGGTATTATCACTAGTTCATTTTACCAAAGAAAGACTAAAACTTATTTAGAGATTAGGTATGTTTCTCAGTGTGGAAAACTACAGGATTTATACCGAGGAAGGCTCTCTTTCCAGTGTCTGTCTCTTAAACACCATCTCTTACTTCTTTCAAATGTATAGAAGTAATAAACATAGACATACTATCATATATTAATATTAAGTAAGTTTACAATTGGTTCCATTTCTCTACCTTTTAAACTTGCAAAGTGAGAACTTTTTCATCAGAAGCGGTAAAATATGTGATGAGACAGTGGATGTACATACTAGAAAATGGACACTGATTGTGGGGAGTATTGTACCCTACTGTGACAAAACCTTCTAATTGAGGGTCTTTAGAAAGAATGCTTCCTCTCTCTTCCTGATGCTTATTTATTTGGGAAATGATTCATGTGGCAGAATAGCAGCAGTCAGAAAGAGTATAGATAACAGTTCATGAGGGAGAGTTCTAGTTGCTAGAGCTTTTTGTTCATTCGTTTGTTTGTTTGTTTGTTTGTTTGCTATGGGAAGAGTAGGCTCTCCAGAGAGAGAAAGAGAGAGAGAGAGAGATAGTGAGAAATCAACACCCCTGGTTGGGCAGTGGTGGTGTATGGCCATGCTGCAATCCCTTCTCCTCCATTCTACTCTGGGATTTTAGGTACCCATGCACACATGCTCAGTGTCATTTTCAAGTTGCCAGGTCCAGGACTTTACCTGCAGAGTTGGCCATATACGATCCAGCACCTTAACTTCTACACCATCTGCCGGCTTGCAAGACCTTTTAAAAAGGCATTTTTAAAGAAAGAGTTATTAAAAGAGTGAAAATATCCTGATATTGCCATGAGTTATGTAAGACTCAAGAAGACACATGTTAATATTATCTGAGTTTTCGATTCCTGTCACATGGAAGTGAGGTGTGTGGTGTTTTGGCTCCTCAGAATCATTTATGAGTTGTGATGTTTATGTTGGACAGACATGTGCACTCAAAACATACTGAAGCATAAGAAAATGAGTTGTTAAAGAACGTAAACTTTAAACTAGATGTGTAATCTGTTATTTAGTTTTGGGAATTTGAGGATACCATATGTAATGTTCACTTATGATTTTGAATAACACATTTTATGATAGGAAGTATGTGCATAAGAGAGAGAGAGAGAGAGAGAGAGAGGAGAGAGGAGAGAGAGAAAAAGCACCTTTCATAGGATCTCATGACATTACAATCTCCTTTCCTCAGGTCTCCAGCTCCTCAAGATTTAGGGTACCCATAAACAGGCCTGACATTTTTCTAGTAAGACCTGGGATTCAGAACATGGCCACTATATGGCTTCTAGCACCATAGGGCACTGTTACCATTGTACTACAGTGGCTGGGCCTATTTCTGGTCTTTAATTCTAATCCATTCAAATGACATATAGCTATTTTCTTTTTATTTGTTGTGGCATACAAGGGGACTTCAAAAAAAATCTGTGGAAAATATTGAATTAAAGTATGAGTTTATTTTGGTACCCACAATAATTGAAATGCATGCATGACTTTTTTCATCATATGCATTTTCCACAGACTTTTTGATTCTATATTGCCCGCGAAGTGATTTAGTTGCAGACACAGCATGATAGAGGGCTATTTTCTCTTGAAAATGATAAGATCTCAGAATTCAGAATTTACCTTGGTGGTCTGATCTAGCATCTTTCCAAATATGAAGAACATTGGCCTGAAGATACTCACTTTAAAAACATTCTGTGCTCAAACGAGGTTGAAAAACAACATGTAATATATTTATCTCTTAGAGATTCCTAGCACAAATTCTTATATTTGAGAGTCTATGAGGTCTTGCTTAACTTTTGTCAATCTGAATGCAGAGTATGTAAAGTACTTGGGATTTGTGTAGAGACCAGTGGAAATGAGCATATCTATATATTTATCTATATCAAACCATAGGAGACATTGTAATGGTGGAAGTTGGCTCTTTTTCTTAAGTAAATTATTTCACATAGCTACTATAAAATGTGTATTTATGTCAGGAGTTTCTATATGTACCATGAGTTATGTTTGGCTATAGGCCTTGGAAACATTTATTGTCTTGTAATTGCAATTTGATATAGCTACAACTAGATGGTAATATTGTTTCATTTTATTGCAGATGCCTAAGGTTAAGAATAAATTTATACTTTTTCAAATTATCTGATGAGCAAGATTACCTGTAGCACTCATGGATTTGTTCAGCAATAACAGGTCATGAAAAGACTTAGATATTTTTTCCTTCAGAATAGTCAGTAAGGGGAAAAAAATGTAACATTTTAAAATATTTTGTTCTCAAGTGCAGTCTAAGGATTATGATTTCACATTCTGTATAGACTCTGTAGAGAGGTAGACATTTCAGTGAAGGTAAAGCACTCTTTCAAATAGTGAGATTGCATCTTTCATCTAAAACCTTTTGCAACCTATGAAATCATCCTAAATTCAGACTTTGCTAGCTTCCTTTGGAGCAGGAGCCAGTGTGAGTGCCTTGCCCTCTAGGCTTCATTCTCTCTGTTTCTATTATTTTTCTTTTATGACGTTGGGGAACTGCTTCTTGGGTAAATGCCTGTGAAAATGGATCTGCCTCTAAGCAATGCTTAAGACATAGATAATGATTATGATATGCTCTGGGATCCTTTTATGAAATATACCATTTAAATGCAAACGATTGCTCAGTATCCTAAAGGGACCAGTAGTCTACACTAGTTTAGCAATCCCTGTGACACCCACATTGATTTTATCCATTGAGTCCCTCTGCATAAGCCGGGTGCACAGTAATTCAGTGCTGGGCCTTCCGATCGTTGTTTCAAGTTGAGGGTCAGGTGGTATTTAGAACATGATGTATCTGTTACATCTGCCTACTGCTGAATCGGGCAATGACATCTGAAAATTCAATTGGTTGTTACAAAGGCAAAATATGGAAAATATAGTTAACTCTGGAAGCAAACCATTTCTTAGGGATTCTCCTTATTACTATAACCAACAATAATAGAATAGCAGAGTGCTTTTTTTTTTTTTCTCACACAAAAAAAGATATGGTCTGTGGCATTTGTTGTGCCTTTCTTACAAAACAAATTGATGGTTGACAGCCAGACACTCCCTAGTAGTTAACAGTCAGTCTGTTCCTGATCTAAGTGTAAAGCATTCTCAGATGTGTTTATGATTTTGATCTGTTGCTATAACTGGGGCGTCCTTCTCACTCTCTGGTTTTTAAAATGACAGGATATCAAGGTGTACGGCAAAGGAAACCCCACGAAGGTTGTAGCTGTAGACTGTGGAATAAAAAACAATGTAATCCGTCTATTAGTAAAGGTAAGTGACTCCATCGTTTAAATGGTAAGGATATGCAATATTCATTGTTAATGTTCAGTTGATTTCCTTCAATTTCAGGGAATGCCAGGAATCTATGTCCTTCTGTAGCCTTTACAAAGGAACACATTTTTCTCTATTCAAATGAAAGATATAGACTACTTAACAGAAATGGAAAACTCTTAAGGACTATTGAAACATGGTGGACAAAATGGCCGTTCTTACCCCTCATTGACTGTCATTTTGAGACATAGGACATTTACTTTCTTTGGGGTATAGATCAAAAAGCTTGAGTCCATCTGAGAGCTCCTCCTCTGGCCTACTTTTTTACCTGCCACATATTTGCAGGAATCATGCCTTTCAATAGTGCAAGCTTTCACAGTGCTCTGTATCAGTTCAGACAACCAATTAAAATGAAATCTTAAAAGGATTTAAGAGGAATTTAATCATTGTAATAATGTTTTAAAAAATATTTTGTTTTTTGATACTTCTCCTTTTCCCTTCTCCCAGTCTCTCTGTCTGTCGTCTGTCTCTGTTTCTCTCTCTCTCTCTCTCTCACACACACACATAGTTTCATAAACCAGGTTAGCACCTAGAGAGATTCTTCAACTCACTTTATCTTTGTTAGAAAAATATCAGCAACATACAAATCATAATTTCAAATTGTCAATTTTATTAACAAAAATGTGCATGAATTCTTCGGTAGCAAATGCTTTGCATATCCTATCTGTATCCTACTCTTGTTTTGCCATTTTAATTCATGTTGCCCATTTTTCACTTGCAAGCATCCACATCTCTTTGCCTGAGGGCTTACTTTGATTGGTTGGAGACTGCTGGCAGGCAGGTGATGCCATTGAATTAATACTCCCAGAGCAGCCCCCAATGGATGACCAGAGTCAGTGCATAAATCCCCTGGTGCCATTGCCCCATGTAGATAGGCTATCTCTCAGGTCAGCATTCCACACTGGCTCTCAGGGTTTCCCAGTGAGCTTGAGCTCTCGGTGTCTGTAGTGGTAACTGCTTGGTAATACACACTTTATTTCAAATGTCTCACAGTGTCAGTTCTGCTCGATTTTATTGGTATTTTGTCGAGATATCTTACAAATAAACTTTTCTCTCAAATCCTTGTCTCAGGAAATGCTTCTAGGAAACTTTCAAAGACAGCTTCCTATAGATGTTCATATAGAAAAGTTATTAATTTTATATCAGAATATAAGTACGACAGCTAAAATGAGAGATATTCAAAATGTTAATGGAAAATATCTATTATGAAAAATCTATGGAACCAGCAGTTAGCGTAATGGCTATGTCACTGGACTCCCACGTATTCGACCATGGTTTGAGTCCCAGACCTGGTGGCTTAAATTCACACCGGGTGCATGTGCGTGCGTGCCCAAGATCCTGAGAGGAGAATGGAGGAGAAGGGATTGCATCATGACCATCCCCCCTGGGGGGTGATTTCTCGCTTTCTATCTCTCTGTCTGTCTGACGAGCGCATGCGCCCTATAGCAAAAAACCTCTCAAAAAAATCTATGCATGAATTTCAATTTTTTTGTATGAAATTAAATTCATGCTTTATCTCATTTTCCCATGAGCCTTCTGGAGCCTCTGTATATGAGAAAACTCTAAATTAAAATTCCATCACACAAAAAGTCAAAACTGAAAGAGATAAGAGGTAGACCAAGTAAAATTTTGGAGAAATGGAAGTGTGGAATGAATGCATTATCTATGTTTTTGTTTGTTATAGGTGCAAAACTGTGTGTGTGTGTGTTTTCTGCACTTACTTTTTTATTTTTTCTTTTTGGAGGGATTTTTGCTGTAGGGTGCATGTGCTCATTGGAGACAGAGAGAGACAGTGAGAGGAAAGAGAGTAATTACCCCCTGGGGGGGATGGCCACACCACAATCTCTTCTCCTTCATTTTCCTCTCAGGATTTTGGGAACACACACACACGCACCTAGTGTGTTTCAAGCTGCCAGGTCTGGACTCAAATTGTAGTAGGCCATGTGAGAGTCCAACACCATAACCACGACACCGCCTGCTGGCCCCTCTGTACTTACTATTAATCACTGGCTCCATTTACATCACATAAAATACAAGAGATCAGCTGAAGGATTTTTGCTAAGCATCATTATTTGACTTACATATTCTCTCCCTTCTTCTTTCCTGTAAGTAGTGATTAGTCAAGAGAGAGTCCAGCAAAATTATGTTTTAGCAAAGAAAAACGTTATTAGGTTCATCACTCTTGTGTTTCTTTTCCAGCGGGGAGCTGAAGTGCACTTAGTTCCCTGGAATCATGACTTCACTAAGATGGAGTATGATGGGCTTTTGATTGCTGGAGGACCTGGAAACCCAGCTCTTGCACAGCCACTAATTCAGAATGTCAAAAAGGTATGGTGAACCTGGGAGTAGTGTGTCCGTGTGTAGGATGGGGAGCTGGGGGCATGTGCTGTATCAGGGCTGTGATACATTTTTTTCTAGCCAGGTATTTTTCAGTACTCACATTTGTGACGTCAAAGGCAATGTCAGCATAGATATTCTACAGGGAAACCATCGAGGAAAAAAATACCAGAGGAAACAGAGCTTTCTCTAGGCAAAGTAACTTTGGGATGTGTCAGGTTAAAAAAGCTGGAGTTCATTCTCCAAATACATGTTTTTTTTACAGTTGTAAAATGACAAGCCACGTTCCTGACCATGACTTATAAGACCTTGGCGTTTCTAAAGAAATTTTAAATTAGATTTAGTGTAGTCTGAATATTAAGTATAGCTTTTTAAATTCTTTTGTAAAATTTAAGTCATTTTTGCCTTAGGGCATGTGTGCTCACTGGAGATAGAGACAGACAGAGAGACAGAGACAGTAAGAAGGAAAGTAAGAAATCACTCCCCAGGGGGGATGGCCATGCTGCATTTCTCCATTCTCTTCCCTGGATTTTGGGCAAGCACACACATACACCTCACATGATTTTCAAGTCACTGGGTCTAGGACTTGAACTACAGTCGGCCATGTGGGTGGTCAGTGGTATATCCGCTACACTATCTTGCTGGCCCCACTTTTTGAATTCTAGTGCTATAAATTTGCCCACTCTGTCTTTATTTATTTTTTTAACTTTTAATTCATTTACTATCCTATCTTTTATTGTAGAATTATTTATTGTTATTATTATTATTTTAATTGACCAGAGAAAGACAGATAGGGAAAGTGAGAAAGCAAGCCACTAGGTCTGGGACTCGAACCTCAGTCGGCCATGTGAGAAGTTCAGCACCCCAACTACTTTGCCACCTTCTGGCTCCTTATTTAATATTCTCTTTGCCTTTACCTCATTAACAGGGAAAAAATGATTAATTTTTATTCCTTCAGTGGCACTATTTTTTGGAACTGTATTATTGAATAAAGGTTCTCCCTTGTTTAGATTTTGGAGAGTGATCGCAAGGAGCCATTGTTTGGAATCAGTACAGGAAATTTAATAACAGGATTGGCTGCTGGTGCCAAATCCTACAAGATGCCCATGGCCAACAGGTAAGGCAAATATGCTTTTGTTGTCAATCAAACAATCTCAGAAATACTGCTATTAATTAAACACAAAGGATGTAGAAAATTGATGTGCCACTTCTTCAGAATAGACATCTAAGCATACTGTTCCATGGTGCACAGTTGTCTGACTATCTGATACCACTTTTAGCATATTTTTAGAAGACAGCCTTCTCTAATGATAATAGTCCTATCGTTTAAAGTTGTTTTCTTTGCCTTGGCATAAATTGAGGTTATAATAATTAAATGGTACTCCAAGGGAAATGGTTCTGATTTCAAGCTTGATTTTAGAACATCAGTATAATTTTAAGAAGCTACTGTGACCTGAGAAATCTTTGGATCATCTCAGTTTCACTTCTTTGCCTCCAATGACTTTAATTTATTCAACATCAGAAATTCTTTCACAGCACACCCTCCATGTGTAAAGTATAATTCAAATTCAGATGCAGGTCTGAACAGGTATCTTGGTATTATATCCAAGACTTCTCCTCTGGCTTTAAAATTACTATAGTTCCCTTAAAATACATTGCTTATAGTTGTCTGAGTCTGTTAAGCTACTGAGCAACTATTTTTGTTGAGTACAATACCCCTTTTTTCTAAAACTGATGATAAAAGTTCAATAGACTTGATATTTAACACCCAACAAAGCTGCCTACACTGATTTTTGTTGCTAAAATGATTGGGATTAACAATCTGTGACTTTTTTCCTTGAGTAATTTTCACTAAACAATGGAAATTTTGAATTTTAATAGGCTTTTCCTGTTCACTACCTTACAATTACAGTAATGCATTTATATTCTTTCCTTCATTTTTTTATTTTCCTATCCTTTTTCTCCTTTTCTCTCCAGAGGACAGAATCAGCCTGTTTTGAATATCACAAACAGACAGGCTTTCATTACCGCTCAGAATCACGGCTATGCTCTGGACAGCACCCTCCCTGCTGGCTGGAAACCACTTTTTGTGAATGTCAATGATCAAACAAATGAGGTAAATGCCCTCAATAAACTTATTCAATTGGTGGTGAGAAGTGTAGGGCTTTTAATACTCTACAATATACCTTTTTGGAGGGTGTGTGTGTGTGTGTGTGTTCATGTTTGTGCATGTGTGTGTGTGTAGAAACTCCAACAGGTTATTTCCCATAACCCTTTGCTTTTTAAGAAGTCATTTCTCTCTGTCATGCTCTCTTCTGTTGACTCATTAAGATCCACTACTTGAGTTGCTAATCAATGGCTGTCTTACACATTCCTTGTTAATGAATGCTTGCTTCAAATCTGTTTGGACCCAGTCTGTTAAATGAGTCTCTAGAACTCAGTATTGGAGTAGCCCTTGAGAAGACCCTTGGAGAAGTAATTTAGGAGTCGGAGATAATACGAGGATTTCAGTTTATGCTGAACAGAGCCCAGAGGGACTCCACAGGCTATAGATCAAATCTGTAGATTTTATTAAGAGAACCACATTAGGTCAAGTCTTCTTTGGCTCATTTTCTATTCTTACCCAAATGGTCAAATATGTCAGTCCTTAAGGAATCCAATCATGTCACTTAATAGTACTGTTAGCTTTTGGAATGTTATTAAGAATTTAGCTCAGTTTTTTTTTTTTTATTAGAATTTTTCTGTCCACTGAATAATACATGACCTCACTTGACATTCGTGTTACAGAGGAATTTCTTCCTGTTTCTTACTCCTGTAGGGGATTATGCATGAGAGCAAACCTTTCTTCGCTGTGCAGTTCCACCCAGAGGTCAGCCCAGGGCCAACAGACACTGAGGTATGTCAGAGAGATGAAGTCTCTTTTATGTATTCTTTTTTTTTTTTTAAAAAAAGTCACAATATTTATGTGAAAAGTATTTATATGAAAACTTGAGAAATCAAAATAATCATCCCAGATGAGCTTTATACAAAACATTCTCAAGAGCACTTTGGTAACACATATCTACATTAAAATCTCCCCATGAATATCACAGAGGAGGAAATTTTTATCTTTTTTTAAAATTTAAAGTGAGAAAGCCCTAAGAAACCCCAAGTTATGCTAATTTTATTTAAATCCATTATCATTCTAATATATTTAGTTCTGAAATTTACAATTGTTGTACTATGCAAATGAATTCCTTCTTGCTCTCTCTCTTCTCATATCTGAAATGAAATTTTAATCCCCCATCTGTGACTTCACAGAAATCCCTATGGCAACTGGTTGTGTAGCCACTAAGGAACAATAAATAGCAGGAGGAGGAGAGGGGCTAGGGTGTGGAAGAGGACATGCATGCACATATATATATATATATAATTCAGATGGCTTAAGAATCATAGGAATACTTAGAGAGTTTTGTCTTTAGTGTAAATATTTTTACTTTTTTCCGTGTGAACACTTGGTTCAATGTTCAAGCATATCTTCCTGAACAAGAGCCTCAGGTTTCTCCCAGAAAACTCGGATGAGGCTCTTCCACTCCCACGACCTGGAGCTTCCAGTATTAATGCTGATAGTTCTTCATTGTCAGTGGGTGCTTGCTCAGAAAAGATATGTAGGTAAAATGATGAGAACAGAAGTCTTCCCTTTTGTAGATAGCACTTCTATTCCTGAATTGCCTTTTTAGATATTTGTGTTTTGTTCCCATTTCAACAATAGTAGGGAATTTTGGTTCTTAATAGCCAAAGTCAGTATAATATTTTCAATACATGATGAAACTCATGAATAAAATTTAGATACATGTATCACTTAATGTATGCATGTCAAGTATTTTTTAATTTCAAATGTAAATGGTTAACCTGTATTAGTACTTCAGATTAAGAATATTGTGAATAAGATATGTAATAATATCCACTATCATTTAAGTCTTTACATTTTTTCCTTTTGTCCTGCCAAATAGCTGCAAAATAAATATTCTTTATTGATATTTGTCATGTCTAATGAAACAACAAAAGTAACCTCACTGAGGTTAAGAATAATCTTAGATTTCAAGGCTGATGGGAATTTATAAAAGTTCCTGCTTCTAATTTCAAGATGCATAAGTGATAGTTTTATTATTTTTTTGTGCAACTTGAATCTGATTTAGAAGAAAATGATATACAATCAAGGGGCTGAAAACTTGACATTCTTGGAAGACATTACCTGAATTGTTTATTGTCTGTTAGAAACTTCCTTGTTATAGAAGCAAAACAAATATTTATTAGATCTAATTTTCATATAGTAGCTATCTCATTATTGGCAAAAAGGCAAAAATATATAGGAAAAAGCATTCTAAAAAATGATTTGCGGATTATCTGAAGCTCAAATTTAACTAAGCAACGGTATTTTATATGGCAACCTTATGAAATTTGACACCTCTAACTGGTTGTTTATACTTTTTTCTAGTACCTGTTTGATTCCTTTTTCTCACTGATAAAAAAGGGAAAAGGTACCACCATTACATCTGTTCTTCCAAAACCAGCACTAGTTGCATCTCGGGTCGAGGTCAGTATATGTGGGCTTAGTTTCAGTTTATGCATTTCAGATTTTTCTTATGATGTGCTGATTTTTAAAAGTGAATAATATAAACAATACCAATGTCTCTGAAAGGTGATTGGTAACATTGTAATCACCCATCATCTTGCAACAAATTATTTGGTTAATTCTTCATGATGTGCATTAAAACTAATTTTCATGTTTTGATTTAAAATGATATCTTTGAAAGTTTATCTCTTCATGAATATTTGTGACAACATAATTTAATAAAGAATATGGCTTAGCTTAAAATTTGTCATATTTTCCATGACCTCAAAAGCCATACCCCTAGGTAAGGTTGAGTTAAAATTCAGACTACAGACCCCTTATACATGACAGAATTTGTTTTGTTTCAATCAGAAGAATTATTATTCAACATCATGAACTGAATAGTATTATTTTACCTCTAAAAAGCAAATGGATAAAAATGAATAAAGTATAAGATTTGAATCCATAATTATTGAGTGTGTTTGTTAATGTGATGAGATTTTTGTACATTTCCGTTATAGTTAAACTACCTACACACCCACAATATTATTATATAAAATCTAGAATGACATATGTGTATATTCAAATATATACATACATGGACATATATTTACATCCGCATGTAAACATGCTTATGTGGATAATTTTAGATATTTATATATGTTCAATAATGTTATGTTATATAAGATGTAAACCTCTTTGAAAATATTTTTTACTTAAATGAAAAATTCGTCCTGAACTTTGGAAATCACATTGAAATTAGAGATGTTTAAATTGTTACTTTTCCCCATATATTATACACATTTCTAAAACATTGTACTTTAAATTACCATATAAACTCAGAAAATACATATGTCTTCTCCATTCTTGGAAATGTAGTATTTTCACTACGTTAGTAATAAAAGCACTGTTTTTTTTCTTATTGCTTATAGGTTTCCAAAGTCCTTATCCTGGGATCAGGAGGTCTGTCCATTGGTCAGGCAGGTGAATTTGATTACTCGGGATCTCAAGCTGTAAAAGCCATGAAGGTAAGCGGATATGATCTTTGCTCTAGTTAATATACCGCCTTTAATGAGCCTAATTAGTATCTTAACATTTAGATTTATGATGCTACCTTTTGGCAAAATCACTATAATTATTTTCTTTATTTATAATACATATTAAAGAAAGTTTGATCACAAATAAAATTCTTAACTTTCTCAAATGTACATACTTGCATATTAAAAAGATTAAATTGTTGTCCAGAAGTATTTAAGGTATTGCCTACCCATATTAAAAATATATATAGCCACAGTTATACAAGCTGCTTATTCCTTTTGAGGAAGTGAGCACTTCAATATACTAGTCTTTATGTAAAAGAGGGATTTGGGCATTGTTGGTGCTTTGAGGTACTTCAAATGCTCTACGAGATGCTTCATGCATCCTTTTGGTCAAAATGGGAACCTCCAGTTGACAAAGGCAACCATGTAGTTTGTTCTGTCTTTAGAAGTTACTAGCTCTTAGCAGGAGACCAATTATCCTATTAGTTTGGAAAACAGGTTGGTATAGTTAAATTTTCAAGTGGAGAAGAGACTTTGAAACCCAAGATAAAAAAAGACACTTTTTCTGTTTCTCCAAACCCTCTTAAGATCTCCTTAACTTTTATCCTAGAAAACTAAAAATTTAAAAAAAAAAAAATTCCACTGTGTATGTGAGATATTTCATTTGAAGAGATAACTTGGCTTCTCTTTGGTGTCCTTATTTTCCTGGATGACTCCCATCTTGGTGTTAATGAGGTGTTCAGAGGCAACTTTCTGTGATTTTGTCTGACTTTGCCCTGTAAAGCCATCACCAGAGACCTGGGGAGCAGAGGGAATAGAGAGATGGTAGCAGGAGACTAGCACAACAAAGACAAAAGCAGTTGGCCACAGTTTTCCTTTTTTTCAGTATACTATATTCAGATATTTTCAATTGACAGATGTCTGTTGAAAAGAGATAGAGCACAGTCCCAATTATTTCTTTTCTTTGTATTTGTTTTTACTTTTTTTTAAAAATATTTTTCTTGGGCCAGCTGGTGGCACTGTGGGTTAAGGCAACTGGATCTCATATGGCTGACTGTATGGGTCAAGTCCTGGATTCAACAGCTTGAAAGACACACTAAGTGCATGTGTGTGCCTGCTTAAAATCTGTGAAGATAATGGAGGAGAAGGAATTGCAGCATGGCCATTCCCCTGGGTGGTGCTTTCTTTCTTTCTCTCTCTCTCTCTCTTTCTCTCTGTCTCTCCCTGGCAAGTGTACCCACCCTGCTGCAAATAAAATGAAATAATAAAATAAAATAAAATAAATAAATAGTAGTCTTATTATGCATGCCTGGGTATACACACACATGCACATATATTTTTTATTGATGTTTTTAGAACGATACGTTACTTTATTGTATTATGCTTCAGTTTCTCTTTGAATGATAACTAGAGAATGTCTAATGGTATAGATTGGTGAGAACACAATTAAGTGTGTTCAGAGTTTAGAATACTTTCACCTAGTGTAAAATTTTATGCTTTTTTTTTTCTTAGAATTTTGAGATCAATTGATATTTTCATAGTTGTTCAAAAGTGCTTTACATCTATTGGAAAAAGTTACATATTTTCAACGAAAAAGGAATTCTATATCTTGTTATGATTAATTAGGTTAATAGAGATTAATTTATGAGCTAAAAAGTTAAAATAATTATATGGTGCATGTAGTGTAACCAAAATTAGAAAAACAATGGAAAAAGATGCCAAATTAATTAATATGGTTTAAAATTATTGTAAGTTTTAAAATGAGTAGATACTCATTACATAGGTGTGGTATCTTTTCTTGAATAATTTGACTTATAAAAATAGCCATATTAGTAGTTTTTTTACATTGAGTAAAATGATTAAATGTATTTAAATTTGTTGGTAGTTTTTGTTAGTAGTGAGAAATTTTATTTTTCTTGGAGTGAGATTTTTTGCTATAGGGCCCATGTGCTTGCCAGAGAGACAGAAAGTGAGAAATCATTCCCCAGGAGGGATGGCCACACCACAATCACTTCTCCTCCATTCTCCTCTTAGCATCCTGGGCATGCACGCACAGCGTCCAGCATAATTTCCAAGCTTCCAGGTCCGAGACTTGAACCACAGTCTACCACGTGGAAGTCCAGCAATGTAACCATTTCACCATTGGCTGGTCCCAGTAGTGAGACTTTCTTAAAGTTCTAGTAATGATATGTTCTTGGTTTGGACTTATATATTTGAATGTCAACTCATATTCCAAAGGCATTTGCTTATCTGTACCTATCTTTCTATCCTAAACCACATTTAAAATCTTGAGAGATGACTCATATTGAGGAAAAGGGATAGGATGAGTCATAATAGTTGCATATGAGTCCTAATAATGCCACTTGTCAGTTATATGACTTTTGGCAAATCATTTAAACTTACTGATTTCAATTTCTTCATCTGAAAAGTGGAAATCTCTCTCATAGGCTTGAAATAAAAATTAAAAAATTAAGGTGATGGTGCAGCAATAACCCAATGCTCTGTGAAACTGGACCCATGTGGAAAGGTCCAGGGTTTACATCTCAAGATCTTCTTGTGCATGCATGCCCTTGATCAAGACTGGCTGAGGATAGGGCTGAATTGTGACATGAAAACACTGTCGGGCTGCTTGCCTCTGTCACTCTTTCATGCGACAAATAAATAAACTTTAAAAAATCAAATAAATTAATAAAAGAGTGTATTACAAACTTTGGGGTAGTATTTGAACTTAAAATAGTACAAAATATATATATTTAATTTTTTATTCTAATTCTCCCCTAAGGATATGTAAAGCTTTCAAGTAAGATTTCTATACTTTTATCTGAATATTTTGTTGTTGACTTTTTAGAATTTTAAATTGGCATTCTAATCTGTAAAATAAGGCCATATTTTATAATATTTATTTTGCTAAGTGTCAAAACACTTCCTGGTTTAGAAAACTAATATTTTTAATAAGCTTCATGAATTATTTTGAAGGTTTCTCTGGATGTAAGAAATGAAATAGGTCCATGAATACTTTCACGCACATGCACACACAAGCAGGTATACATTTGAACACAAACTAATATTTATTTTTATGTTTTGCCATTTCATTATTTTCTTTGCATATACTACATAGTAATATAAGCAGTTGTATAACCCTTCTTGTTAAAGTACTACAGCAAGCATGAAAATTTAGAAAATATAGAAATCTGCAGACTGTAATAAGAAAACACAACATCCTGAATTTTAAATGTAAATCCATCATTTTCTCAGACAATAGAAGAGGAAACAATTTTGATGTGGCTTATAGTTCCATTTTCTATGTACTCATTTAGAAATTTTTGGAATATTTTATTCTTTTTTTTTTTAAGAGAGATTTTTGCTATAGGGTGTGTGTACTTGCCAGCAAGACAGACAGAAAGCAAGAAATCATCCCCGAGGGAGGATGGCCACATCACAATAGCTTCTCCTCCATCCTTCCCTCGGGATTTTGGGCACACGCACACACGTGCCTGGCATGAGTTGTAAGCCACTAGATCCTGGACTAGAACTGCAGTCGACTACATGAGAGTTCATCAACTTAACTGCTACACCATCCGCTGGTCCCAATATTTTATTTCATTCTTTTAAGGTCAGTTGAGCTGTAAAGTTTTTGTGTACTTTTAGACAGATTCTATAAAAAAAAATAATCTCTAGATTTGGTTGATACCTCCAGGGGCAAGAAATTATCCTCACAAGACAGTTCTGCTCGAATGATTTTATTTTTAGCAGTTTCTTCTTTTGATCTAATGCTTGTCTGCCTTTAACTTCCACTCACTAATTCTGTTACTGAGCTCTACACTTCACAGAGTAACCAAAAAACTTCGTGACTCCCATCAACCTTCACCAGAGCGTGGCCATTCTCTTCCTTAGACCATGTATTCAGACACTGGATCCTTATGTTCATTTCAGGAAGAAAATGTCAAAACTGTCCTGATGAATCCAAACATTGCATCAGTCCAGACCAATGAGGTGGGCTTAAAGCAAGCAGATGCTGTCTACTTTCTTCCCATCACCCCTCAGTTTGTCACAGAGGTCATCAAGGCGGAACGGCCAGATGGGTTAATTCTAGGCATGGGTGGCCAGACAGCTCTGAACTGTGGTGAGTTTTTTTATGTTTAATTGTAGAGTTTTGATTCATGTCCTTATGTGCACTGCGTTTTATATGAGCCAATCTAATAGTTATGCTCTGTCCGTTCATTAAACCTTTCCTCTAGTATGTGAGGAAGCAGTAAGCAAAAAGCCACCGAAAACTTTATGTGATGATAGTACTAGTTTATTTTACAAAGCAGCTAACAAAAAACCTTTTTTGAGTTAGTGCTCTAGAATGGTCAGATAGGTTTCTTGGGATTCTCCCTCACCCCCATTTTCTGCTAACCATTGAAACCCTGAGAATTAGCATGAATTAAAATGAGAATTAACTCTGATTAAGTGCTTTATGTCTCAGTTCTGTAGCATTTATCTTTCATAAATATTTTCATGATGTCATAGATCAGCTTGCATCTGTTAAGTTCCCTGCTCTGCCCTCTTAAAAAGTATGCTGTAAGTCTTTGGAAGCAGATTATGAATGAGAATCTCTAACTAGTTGAGGTAAGCAATTGTTGATATAATTTGTATGTCAAATGAAAAGGACTCAGGGGACCAGCAGTTAGCGTAATGGCTATGTCGCTGGACTCCTACGTAGTCGACCACAGTTCTAGTCCTAGACCCGGTGGCTTAAACTCACGCCGGGCGCATGTGCATGCGTGCCCAGGATCCCGAGAAGAGAATGGAGGAGAAGGGATTGCGGCGTGGCCATCCCCCTTGGGGGGGTGATTTCTCGCTTTCTGTCTCTCTGTCTCTCTCTGTCTGTCTGGCGAGCACATGCGCCCTATAGCAAAATCCTCTCCAAAAAAGAAAAAGAAAAAAGAAAAAAAAAGGACTTAGCAAAAGTTAGATGCAACATAGTGGAAACACAAACAATTTTTGGTGAGTTTTTTTTTTTTTTGGCTCAAATAGAAACCCATATTTCTGAGATTATTTAAATAGTTAAATCTCATGATAGTAATGGAATTTAGAAATAATGGAAATATACTGAAATCTCCAGGCTCATTATAATACTATAATTTTTATTAATAAGACATAATAGTTTAGAGAAAGTAGACATATAAGTAATAGTAGCATTAGTAACATCTTTATTTAGATTGTATTCAAAAATTGTATTTCAAAAATTTTCCTGCTAAGTGCAGTTCTAGTGTGAGTTGTGGTGACTTCCTGGATTTAATTTTTTAATAATACTTTTATAATTATCATAGCTAATCAACATTAAAGTATCTTTAATTGTTTTATTCCTTTTTTTACATTAAAAATTTTATATTTAATAACTATATATATTTATACTGTATGAAATTTACCATATACATTATTATCAACAGATAACTTGTCATTCAGTGTCTGTTAAATATTTTTTCCTCTGATCCCCTTCCTCTCACCCCATATTTCCCGCCCCTTCCTATACAGACTCTTTCTGTTTCTGCCATAGAGTGCAGATACCCCATGATCTGTTGGATTTAATTTTAAGATAAAAAAATGTATAGTAATATCTCTTATGGAAGATACAAGAGTTTGTGGAAAGAAAACTGATTAAATTTTATTCTTCTGTAGGAGTGGAACTATTCAAGAGAGGTGTACTCAAGGAGTATGGTGTGAAAGTCTTGGGAACTTCAGTTGAATCCATTATGGCCACAGAAGACAGGCAGCTGTTCTCGGACAAACTAAATGAGATCAATGAAAAGATTGCTCCAAGTTTTGCAGTAGAATCGGTAAGGAATCTCTCTTCTGGTGAACTGGTATTATTTGTCTTGGGTTGTAAGGAAAATGTTTTGCCATGCCCAATAATAATCCTTAAAATGATTATCCTTGCATATTTTCTTCCAGAAAAATGTTAGTACCTCAGAGACATTATGTATTAATAGTATCATTTGATTCTGAAATGTTAGGGATAGCCATTAATATTTTATTTTGTGACCAAAAAAATGTTCAGAGATTAAGTGATTTATCAATGGTTAAAGTACCAGTGAATCTCGGATCTCTTGAGTTGAAACTAAGAACCATTCAATTTGCTATACCACACTAATTTTTACCTTCCTTCTAAATCTGTCACAAATTTTATATATGCAAATGTCCTGCAAATAGAATTGGGTTAAAATTGGGCTAGGGAAGTGGAATTCATATTTTAGAATGAGACTGACCCAATTAGTAAGATTCATGGCTTGAACACAGTAGCTTAGATATTTAAAGAGGTTACCTAGTTTGCTTTTCTGTTACTTTCCATTGTATCATATGCCTATTGATAGGCTATTACCATTCACCAGGAAAAAGTCAATTTACTCTACATCTGTTTTTCTTCTGACTTTATTTTTGATTTCAGGCATACGGTTGGTAAAAATGAGGGTGCTAGAGGAAGTTTTAAATGCAACTTCCCTATTGAACAACTAAAATTGGGTTCTGCATGTTTCAGGAAAGAATGCTATGAAGTACACATCCCATGTTACAAAGCTGTCGATCAAGAATAATCCCAGGGAAACTCTACCAAACACTTTGGCAGGGAACCTCCTGCCGTACATTTATTCTTTCATTGCCAGATTTAATTATGTTCTTGCTTCCTCAGGTTGAGAAACTGGCATATGGGAAAGGTGTAATTACATTCCCATTGGTAGTGTAATAATATTCCATGACAGAAAAATATAGCCACCGTATGTTGTGTTCTGTAAATAAAAAAAAAAAAAAAGTCCAAGCTTTTGGGAATATTCTCAGGCTAAACTTGAAAAATTTTTAAAAATCTAATTTTATATAGTGTTTCTAATGGCTTATTGTAGTACTACATAACATTGACAGTAGAAAACCTTATTTCATTCAGAGGTAAGCATTTTCCTCTTTTTGAAAAATAATTATTTATTTTATTTTATTAATTATTATTATTATTTTAAAATTTGCTATAGGAAATATGCCTCCTCCCTCAAGGAGAGAGAAAGAGAGAGAGAGAGAGAGAGAGAGAGCGAGAGAAAGAGAGAAAACTAGCTGCCAGGTCCAGGTCCAGGACTTGAACTATGATTGGACATGTAGAAGACCAGTACCTTACCTGCTATACCACCTGCTGGCCACAGAAAACAGACCTATAGGCTGTCCTTAAAAATCTAGTAATTCAGGACCAGCAGATGGCATAGTGGTTATGTTGCTGGATCCCCACCATGGTTTGAGTGTCAGACCTGGTGGCTTGAAACTCATGCCAGGTGCATGTACATGTATGCCCAAAAACCTGGGAATAGAATAGAGGAGAAAGGATTGTGGCATGGCCATTCCTCCTGGGGACTGATTTCTCACTTTCCCTCTCACTGTCTCTCCCCCCACCCCCACATGAGTGCATGAACCCTAAGGCAAAAACATCTAAAAATAAATAAAATAAAGAAAATCCAATTATTCAATACGGCTTCCATTCTCAAATGAATGATGACTATTTCTGCTTTAGCTATGGTTTTATTTCTTTAGAGAAAAAATACAGTTTAACACAAAAGGATTTTAAAAAGCTACACTAAAGAAGACACCTTCATGGCTACTGAGAACTAGTGATTTCAGGGAAACAGGAGAAATGAAGACTTTTTACTGATAATTCAGCCTCCAGTCCACAAACTCATGTGGTAGGAAGATTTTCAAGCCTTTTGTCTCTGTCTCTGTCTCTGTCTTCTCATTTTTTGTAATTTTTCCCTTTAAAAAAAATTTAAGGTAAAGCAGTTTCTTGGCTTTCAGCCCCTCCTTTCCCTTTATCTTGTTAATAATCCACTCTCCCTCTCCTTACCCAGGAGAGGCAAGGAAACAGGCCTCAGAAGATACCTTCATGGCTACTGAGAACTAGAACACTGTGTGGTTTTCTAGTTTTTGCTTTTTTTAAAAAAATAATTTTTTAAGATTTTTAAAAATTTTTTTTAGTTTTTTTCTTTTCTTTTTCTCTGTTTCTTGGTTGTTTTTGTTGCTGCTGCTTCTCTCTGTTTCCTTTTCTGCATGGTCCTGGACTTTCAAATAGAATTTAAAGTTTGGGAGGAAACACACTTTCCACCAGAGGACTAGAAATCACCACAGGACCACAAGAAATATGGTAAAGCAAGAAAATACCTCTCCTCCAAGGTAAAAGAATAACTCCTCTTCATCCATAGACAGTTCAATGAAAATCATGAAAATGTCTGATAAAAAATTTAGAACAGTCATAATGGTGAAGCTAACAGAGATAGAAGAGAAGAGAGACAATGAACTGCAGAGGAGAAAGGAGCTGACGAGTTCTGGGAGGTGAGGAAGTTCTTGCAAGATCTAAAAGAGGAATTGCACACTTTAAAAAGAATCAAATGGAACTGTTAGAGATGAAGACTATAATACAGGAAATCAAAATCTCCCTTGAAAGTATTAAAAGCAGACTAGATCATGTAGAAAATAGAACCTCAGACATAGAAGAGAAAATTGCTGACCTAGAAAAATCCACTACGAAGACTGAGAAAATTGCCCCCAAATTTTAGAATAATATACAAGAAATACTGGATACCATCAAACGTCCAAACATCCAAATAATTGGCATCCCAGAAGGTGAAGAGACTCATAAGGGCATTTGTAATCTATTACATGAAATCCTGCAAGATAACTTTCCAAGACTACTGAGGCACTCAAAGATCCAATCCCAAGAAACACAAAGGACCCAAAATAAAATCAACTCAAGAAGATCTCCAAGACACATTATAGCCCAGACTGACCAAAGCCACAGGCAAAGACAAGGTAAGACTTGCAAGAGAGAAACACCAAGTTACCTACAAAGGATATCCCATCAGACTAACAGCAGACCTCTCATTGGAAACAATGTGAACAAGAAAAGAATGAGGAAAATATATTCAAAGTGTTAAGGGAAAAGCAATTTCAGCTGAGAATACTGTACTCGGCAAGATTATCCTTCACATGTGAAGAAAAGACAGAAACATTCTCAGATAAACAAAACCTGAAAGAATTTACCAGCACCAGACCCAGCACCAGACAACATCTCCAAAATGTTCTCAAGGGAGTGGTATGTCAGGAAAATTAGATGTAGTCATACAGAAATAAGAGTTCAAACACTAAGAAAATGGCTAACTTAATTGTAGGGACAAGTCTGGAGTTGAATATTATATCCCAGAATTCAACTGGAAAGATTGAACCACAATAGAAGATAGATTAAGTGCATGAGACTAAACTAGTAAAATAACATTCTGTGACTTTTGACTGAAATATTGCTGCTTTTCTTCTAGTTTTTGTTGTCCAGTTTTAAGAGTATTTGTCCTCTCTTGAGCTGTCAATAGGTTAATGCACCTACTATTTGAACAGAATACTAACCTGTTTCCAGGCTTTAAGTTTTAAGCAAATTTCCTTACCAATTCAAAACTGCTTTTCTTGAAATTACCAGCTAAACTTACTATTGAATGTAGTTAGATTATTTAAGAAATTGTGTGATCAATAAAATGTGGGGAGAAAGGAATGGAATAAAACTGTAGACACCAGAGATACTGTGAGAAGAGGTGGGAAAGGGCCGAGGATCAGACATAGGGGTAAATAAATATAAATAAATAAATCAATAAGTATATCTATCTATCTATCTATCTATATATATATGCACACACACATATATATGTGAAACTAGAAATGGAAAATTATTGATGATAACATACATGATTAAGCCACTATGCAGTATATTTGTTCATTCTACTCACTGAGGTTTATGCCTAAAGTCAGACTTGTGTTCATGGATATGTATATATCAGCTGTGCTTGCTATTGAAAATATTTAGATTAATTAAGGTCTTTAGTGAATCAATAAAATGCAGGGCAAAAAAGGCACAGAAAGCAACCATGGATACCAGAGACAGCATAGGAGGAGGGTGGGAGATGGCAGAGGGTGAGAGATAGGGAATCAAGGATGGAAAAAAATATATATATACAGGAAACAAGAAATGGAAAATTATTTATTGATGATAACACGTATGTTGATGTGTTTGATTGAGCCAATATACAGTATATTCTCAATGGGAAATCTCATTTTGTATGCTGTAATGATGTATAGTGAATGAATGTAAAAAAATAAATTTAAATTAAAAAAAGCTACACTATATATTTAAAGACTCTTTTTCTTCTAGTATTTTACTTAACATTCGCATAACAACACTCATTTTTCAGAAGGAGATGAAGGAAAAATAGAACATTTCCATACTCACTTTCCCAAATAAATTGACTTACTTGAATTGACAGACTTTTTCAGTGTGGTCTTTTCTGTTAATGTGTCAGCTTTTAGAATGTTCAACCCTCTTTCTTGTTGACAGATTGAGGATGCGCTGAAGGCAGCAGACACCATTGGCTACCCAGTGATGATCCGTTCTGCCTATGCACTGGGTGGGTTAGGCTCAGGCATCTGCCCCAACAAGGAGACTTTAACAGATCTCAGCACAAAGGTATGTACTTTCATAAACAATATTCTTACCAGCCAAAAGCATGGACTTGTTATATCCTTCTGTTAGATGAAGTTATATAGATAAGAAATGCCCTTTTAAATTTATTAAATCGCTATCATGTTGTCTAAAAGATGACATGTTTAAGAGGGAAGCTCAGTACATCTATTTATGATGGGACATAGCCATAACCCATATGGCTCTAGGTAAACCAGTGGTCACCCTACTAAAAGTCTGTGTTTAGTACAGTCTGTTTACTTCATGAGATAAACTTAATCCAACTCCATCTTCCCTGCTTCACAGTCTACTATAAAATATTCATAATGCTAAAATACATTTTAGTGACTAAGAAGAGAATGGAATATAATGCCCAGTCTTTCCATTATTTTTGGAACTAATGTAACAGAATGACATACAGTAAGTGAAATAAAGCACACTGAACACTTGGAATTTACCCAAAACTTAGGTGTCTAATATTATGTGTATATATATATATACATATATATACACACTCTCTCTATATATATTTATAGAAACTATATTGATTTTTATATATCTATATATACTATATATATCTATAGTATAATATACCATACTATAATATAGTGAGTGAATTCTGCCAACTACCATACACACAAAAACAAAAGAAGGATTTGAATGTTTTTAATTTATAATCCACAAAAGTCACTTTAACATATTACTTATTCTCTTGAGTATTAAAGGAAACATCTTAAGGAAAATTAAGATATGTTTCAGAAAATAGAGATTAGAAAGTATTATTTCAGAAAGACAAAAGACTTTATCCGTACTCTTATTTCCACATAGTAGAACATTGCCAACCAATAGTGGGGCTTCAAAAATTACTTTGAATGGATAAACCCACGTGCAACCAAAAAAAAAGGTCTGTGTAACTTAGACAATAGTCATGGAAGTAAATCTGACAGAATTATGGCTGGAATATTTTGGGGCATGCTTAGTAAATAACTCAAGCATAGCTGATAGTTTTATGTTGATTTACTTTTTGGACTGAAACAAAATGAGACCCTTGAATTAATGAAATGGAAATTTGAGGACAGAGAAATATAATTAAATAGACTTAAATAACTATAATGGGAGACGTACATATCAACAACTTAGATTTAATTTTTCTGAGGTTGCCAGAATTAAAAAGAAAACATATCTACTGTAAATGTTTCTTGTTTCCATTCTGAACTTTTAAATCATGTATGTAAAACAAAACGTGTTTATGGAGATACACAAATTTATTTTCTCTAGCATATTAGATGTTTCATGTTTTAATATTAGCAGTTTTATTATTACCACAAATAAGTGGCAATATATACTTACACTACATAAAAATATATTTATAAATAAACATTTGAATATGGACTTCTTAATGCAAAAGTACTTTACAATAAAGATAATGCAATATATACTTACACTACATAAAAATATATTTATAAATAAACATTTGAATATGGACTTCTTAATGCAAAAGTACTTTACAATAAAGATAATTTTGGAACGGGGTAGTTTTTTTTTGTTTTATTTTTATTATCGTCATAATCTTCTTTATATTACATTGGATTACATATAACTTTACAGTGTATTACATTGTTTTTTCAAAAGGGAATGCCATGCATGTCAGTCAGTACAGAGACATTAATCTCCCCACTTCAACATTCCATATCTTTTCTGTTTTCCCCAATCATTATTTTTATTATTCTAATTATTTTTATAAAACAGTCAATTGCTATTTCTCGTTTTGCTTGTAAAAATACTTTGCCCATCATGAAATACTTCTCAGACCAATCCAGTTGAGAATACTATACATGTCATCATCAACAGTTAATAACCCCTCCCTGTTTCTCACTAATGTCCTGTCTCTCTATTGTTCACTTGCTATCTTTCTCTATCCTCTTCTCTTCACTTACCCCATTCCACACTGTCCTATTCTCATTAAGTACCTTCACTGTTTTTATGTCCTCCGAATTTTTGCTCTCTATTATAGAGTGCGGATAGTCGGTATATATTGAGTGGATACATACAATATCTTTCTTTCATAGCCTGGCTTGCTTCACTCAGCAATAGATCCTCCATATCTGACCATTTTCTATCAAATTCCAGGGTCTTGTTATTTTTTATGGCTGAGTAGTATTCCATAGAGTATATATACCACACTTTTCCAATCCATTCATCAGTTTGTGGACATTTAGGTTGGTTCCATGTCTTGGCAATTGTGAATAATGCTGCAATAAACATGGATGTGCAAGCACTTTTCTGACTGAGCGTTCTCCTGTCTTTTGGGTAAATACCCAGAAGTGGGATTGCTGGATCAAATGGTAGTTCTATTTGTAGATCTTTGAGGAACCTCCATATTGTTCTCCACAGTGGTTGAACTAGTTTACATTCCCACCAACAGTGTAGGAGGGTTCCCTTTTCACCACATCCCCGCCAACACTTATCACTTTTTATATTCTTAATCTTTGCCATTCTGACAGGGGTTAGGTGGTATCTCATTGTGGTTTTTATCTGCATTTCCCTTATGATGAGGGATGTCGAGCATTTCCTCATATGCTTTTTGGCTGTTCGTATGTCTTCCTTAGAGAGACTTTTGTTCAGCTCACTTTCCCATCTTTTAATCGGGTTAATCATTTTTTTTCGCATAAGGCACTTGAGTTCCCTATGTATTCTCGTTATCAGTCCCTTGTCTGAGGCATATTTAACAAAAATATTTTCCCATTCTGAGGGTTGTCGGTTCACACTTGTTACTGTGTCCTTTGCTGTGCAGAAACTTCTTAGTCTAATATAGTCCCACTTGTCTATTTTAGGGATTATTGCCTGTGCTTTGGGAGTCTTATTTAAGAAGTCTTTGCCTACTCCAATGTCTCCCAGAGTTTCCCCAGCATTTTCCACAAGTAGTTTTATTGTCTGAGGTCTTAGGTTCAGATCTTTGATCCATTTTGAGTTGACTGTTGTTAATGGTGAAAGATGGGGGTTCAGTTTCATCTTTCTGCAGGTGGATACCCAGTTTTTCCAGCACCATTTACTAAAGAGGTTTTCCTTTTCCCAATGGATTGACTGATATCCTTTGTCAAAGATCAGTTGGCTATAAGCTTTGGGAGTTATTTCTGGGGTCTCTATTCTCTTCCATTGGTCCACATGTCTGTTTTTATGCCAATACCATGCTGTTTTGATGACCACAGCTTTATAGTATATCTTGGGATCAGGGAGTGATATGCCTCCTACTCCATTCTTCTTACGCAGGATTGCTTTTGCAATACGAGGTCTTTTATGGTTCCAGACAAATTCTATAATTGTCTTTTCTAGATCTCTGAAGAATATCTCTGGTATTTTGATTGGAATTGCATTAAACATGTAGATTAATTTGGGTAGAATTGCCATTTTGATTATGTTAATTCTACCAATCCAGGAGCATGGGATGTCCTTCCACTTTTTTATGTCACTTTCAATGTCTTTTTTAAGATTCTCGTAGTTTTCTTTATAAAGGTCTTTGACTTTCTTAGTTAGGTTTATCCCTAGATATCTTATACATCTTGTGGCTACGGTGAAAGGGATTCCTTTCTTCAGCTCTGCTTCGTTCAACTTGTTGTTCATAAATAGAAATGCTATGGATTTTTGGATGTTGATTTTGTATCCTCCCACCTTCCTGTATTCACTTATTCATTCAAGAAGTTTTTTCATGGATACCTTTGGGGCTTCTAAGTATACCATCATGTCATCTGCAAATAAAGATATTTTCAACTCTTCTTTGCCTATTCGAATGCCTTTAATACTGTTCTCTTCTCTGATTGCAATAGCTAAGACTTCCAGTACTATATTAAAGAGCAGTGGAGAAAGTGGGCAGCCTTGCCTAGTACCTGTTTTCAGAGGAAAAGCTTTCAGCTTTTCCCCATTCAGTATAATATTAGCTGTAGGTTTTTCATAGATTGCTTTTATTGTGTTCAGAAATGACCCTTCTATACCAATCTTACTGAGAGTCTTAATCATAAAAGGATGTTGTATTTTATCAAACGCTTTCTCCGCATCAATTGAGATGATCATATGGTTTTTATCTTTCTTTCTGTTAATGTGGTGTATTACATTTATGGTCTTGCGTATATTGAACCACCCTTGCATCCCTGGTATAAAGCCTACCTGGTCGTGATGAATGATCTTTGTTATATGTTGTTGGATACGATTTGCGAGTATCTTGTTGAGAATTTTCGCATCTATATTCATCAATGATATTGGTCTGTAGTTGGAACGGGGTAGTTTTCAATGATTTATATGCTATTGAAATAGTCAACAGACCTTTGAAGGACTGCTGGTTGGAAATCTTAGCTTTTCCCTCGAGCATAATTAGTTGTATGATTACATCCGGAGCTTCCCCTATATGCTCTTGAGGTTGTAATTAGCACACTAAAAGATTAACTTATCCAGGTTTCTAAGTAAACTTCTTCTATGAAATCGGAGACTTGAGAGAAAAAAAGAAAAAAAAAAAAGCTGAGGAAACAGATGAAGAGTATCTCAATTTTCCTTGTGCCTCAATATCCATCCTGTTTCATTAAAATGCAAAAGCCTTCCTGAATTCATACCCTTTGTTTCCGAGATTTTTTTTCTTTTAGCATGCAACCCAAGTGGTGAATTAATCATTATTAAATTGTTAACAGTGGTTATAGAGTTCCATAACCACTTTGAGGACCTCGTTGTAGGCAGCTGTGGGAACAAATGTGTTGCATTTGCTGGAGCCTGTAGTGATGACTGAACTTGAAAAAATAGCATTGAGGCATTCTACGAAAAAGCTCACATTGTTGCATTATATTGCCTACTAATAATTTGAAAAAACTCTACTTTTCCTTTCACTGTCTTCCCAAATTAAATATATTATGAGACAAAGGGACAATCCCGTTCCTTATCAGCCACCACATGTCATAAGGTTAGAGATCACCTATTTCGTATTTTAGGTTCAGTATTCTGCCCACTGTGGGTACTCAGTAAATATGAAATGATAATTATACTAATTCATATCTGTCTAATCAGCCATACATGATATACGACTCAGAGTATTTAAGCACTTAGGCAGTGATTAACTGTAATAATGGTTACATATGAGTCTGCTAATTCCCAAGTTTCATATGCTATCTTGGCTAACTGTTTACAGCCATCATCATCTCCTTTCTCCTCCTCATCAACAGCAACTAACTTTTATTGTGTATGTCACTGTACAAAGCACCCTCAGCTATTTTAGAGAAAGCCAGAGTCTTTAGACTTATTTTTCCACATCTATTTTCACTTATCACATTTTCTGGTTTCACAGAAGCCTAGCTGCTGAAATAATTTCATTTCCCTCTGCCTGATTGCTCAATTATTTTCTCTTTTTCCTAAATAGTTTGATTTAATGTCATATCAGCACTTTGAATGGCAAGCCTCAATAATGTAAATCAAGCATATTCACTGCAGGATGCTATTCCTAGTACCTCACTGATTTTTTGACACATGGTGCTTTCTGGAGTGCAGGGGAGGATGAGACTGCATTTGAGAGTTCATTGCTGACCAGGACTCAGATCAGGGCATTTTGCCAAATATCCTTGTTTAAGTCAGTGACTTTCATTACTCTTCAATGCCCTTTGTCACCAATTTCTAGGCCTTTGCTATGACCAACCAGATTCTGGTGGAGAGGTCAGTGACAGGTTGGAAGGAAATAGAATATGAAGTGGTCCGAGATGCTGATGACAATTGTGTCACTGTCTGCAATATGGAAAATGTCGATGCCATGGGTGTTCATACAGGTAGGCAAAAATCTTCAGGAATTATAGTAATGCCTTTAACTCAGCTCTTTGCTGGCTATAGCAGTCTTTATGCAATTCGTTTCTTTTTTTTTTTTAAAAAAAATTGCTGTTCTAATTGATAGGCTAGTGATAACATTGTATATATATGAAGTATTTTATAGTGCTGGAAATAGTCTCACATTTAATTTGATCTTCACAAAAAATCTATGTAGTAAGGCAGATTTTATTACCCTGATTTCATTTGAGGAAAGGATCAAATACAAGAAATATAGTGAAGTTAAATCATTAAGTCTTAAGAGTTGGGAAGCAAGAAGTGATGTTGAGAAGGTTTAAAGCAGACTGAGGTGTTAATCACCAAGTAAATGAGAAAACAGACATAAGTAAAACATACAAGTTTTTCAGGGAGGGAAACTAGTTAGATGAGAGAGCAACGATGGCCAGCCTCATAACTTAATGATTAAGGGAGCTGAGCCCCACAGCGCTGACCATGGTTAAATTTCTAGTCCTGGCAACTTGAAGAACACACTGGTCACATGTGCATGCATGCCCCAAATCTTGACAAGATGGAGAAATGGAAGAGAGGGCATTACAGCATATGACCACATCCCATTGAGAGGTGCTTTCTTCCTCTCTGTCTTTTTCTCTGTCTCTGTTAATCACATGTGCCCTATGGTAATTGTTTTGAAAAAAGAGAAGGAAAAGGTTTTAGAAAAGCTAAATTCCAAGTATGAGCAGGATTCATAAGAAAGGAGTTGAGAATATGGAACTAGAATTCAAGAAAACATGATGAGATAAATTGATACAGTGTTTGGTGGTATGAAAGAAATAATTAAAGCCAGAGGCATTTAAAGTATTCAAAGTCAGGACCAGCAGTTGGCGTAATGGCTATGTCACTGGACTCTCATGTAGTTGACCACGGTTCAAGTCCTGGACCTGGCGGCTTAAACTCACACCAGGTGCGTGTGCATGCATGCCCAAGGTCCTAAGAGGAGAATGGAGAAGGTATTGTGGTGTGGCCATCCCCTCTGAGGGGCCATTTCTAGCTTTCTGTCTCTCTGTCTCTCTCTGTCTTTGTGGGGAGTACACGTGCCCTATAGCAAAAAAACTCAACAAAATAAAAAAAAAGAAAAGAAAAGAAAAAGAAAAAAGTATTCAAAAGCAAAAGCTTGGGTATAGGAAGAGAAGAGAGAGAAGAGAACATAAAATTCTGAACCATGGGAAATATTTTGATTTATAGAGCAAGAGAGAGAAAAAGATTGGTATTGAAGACAGGTAATTGGAAACAGAATTAGGAGAAAACCAGGCTAATAAACTACAAAGCCAAAGCAAAAACATGTTTTCTAAAAACACATTTTTTTTGGAAAGTATTGAATACAATGCAGGGATGATAATAAGGATTTATTTTGGGTTTTTAGGTATCAAAAAAGATAATTTCAATGCAAAGTTAGTTCCATGAGCCATTTTGGAAGGAAATATATGATAATAGTGATCGGCAGAAATTAGACTATCAAGTTCAGCTCTGTAAAGAGCGAGAGAAGGTTTAACTGATTGGCAACTAGAAAGGGGCATCTTGAGGCACAGGAAGTGTTCACATGTTTGAGGGCAGGAAGGATGGAGCTTTAGGACTGAGAGTGAGTATATAAGGAACTCTGACTGGAAAGAAGTGAGAATGGAAAATGAGGAGGAACAGAAAACAGATAAGCCACAGTCTGAGTGTAGAAAAGATAATATTCTAGGGAA